GCCAAACGGAAGTCCATAGTCTCTGCCTACCCCCCTGGGTGACAGGCGTGAGTGTTTATGTATGTATAAATATATACACGCAAAGCTAATAAAAGCGTGTTAATAAAGAAGACGTAATTCCCTCTCAGTGTAGGTTTCGGACTCGCGAGATAATGTAGGCCGTTCGCGGTCAGCTGTGAGCCGCAATTCTCGTTGTGAAGCAGTTTCAGCTTCTCGGGATAACACATGTTCTCGGTCAATGGTAAGCCTTAGCTCTCGTTGAGAAGAACTTTGAGACGCCCGTGATGTAGCTCGTCTCCCTCTGTCAGCTGCTAATCGCATCTCTCTTTCTGGAGAGCTTTCATTGGCTCGAGAAGTTGAGGCACTAACTCTCATAGAGTTTAACCGATGTGCTCTTTCCTCTGCCGATTCTTGAGAACGCACATTTCTCATTCTCTTAGCTTCTCTCGAATTTCGAGATAAAGATCGTTTTTTAGGTGGCATTGTGTATTTTATTTTTAATCGACGGTATTCAGTTACCTAACAAAATAATCTACGTTAGAGGTCCTAACTATAGCTACCATACACTTAAAAAAATCTAAATGTCTACTTAAATAATAAAACGGATCCTAAATAAATCCTTAAATCCAAAATTAAATTCTTAAAAATATATAAGTAGGTACCTAAACTACGTCTAATAGAATGAAATAACCTATTTGATACCTAGGTACGTATTTAAAACTACAGCTAAATAAAAAAAAAGTTTAATTTATAATTAAGCTAATACTAAGAAATATTTAAACACTACCATTATAACTAATACCTATTTTATAAAATAACAACCAAAGAAATCTAAAAATTAATTATTAAACGTAAGAGTAGACTAAAAGTCGCGCTGATAAGCACGGTTTGTTAAAATCAATTATTGTCTGTCAATAAGGTCGAACACTCTGAACGTCTATTCGCATCAACAGCCAAATAGCCGCCTTTTTATACATCCCGCCGCGAGCCGCTTCGAGCGCGGCGACCGTTACACAAAAATAATCCTTATAGCATGCATCAGTATTCACGCGCGATGACTTATTAGCGTATTTCATGTATAACGTTGGTGTTATTATACCGATTTCTATGATTCTTTTTCATTGAATAGATAATAATGTTAACTTTTTTTAATTAGGGATGAGTGAGAGTGTTATTAACGTAAGAGTAGACAAATATAATCAGAAAGCTCCGAACTGCTAAGCTATCAGTAGTTACACGTGTTATTGTGAGTCAACCATAAAAGATAGACATATGCTGTCGTGGGATATTTATAGTATAATTTTAAGGAGAACATTTCCGTTATACATGATTTCTGTGTAGCTTTAACCATTAAGGCTGCACACGCGACGGAAGCTTAAAAAATGGAGTAATTTCTCCCGTTTCCCCAACATTTACCTTCACTGATCTGTTCCTATTGATCGTAGCGTGATGAAAAGTATACTATAACCTGCCCAGGAGTATGAAGAATGATTGTACCGAAGTTGTAATGAAGTTTCGTTAAAATCCGTCAAGTAGTTTTTGTTTCTATAACGAACATACAGACAGACAGATAGACAGACAGACAAAAATTTTGGAAATATATTTCATGTACAGAATTGACCTCTCTACAGATTTATTATAAGTATAGATTATGAATACTTTATTCGTCACAAACAACATAATGCATAATAAAAAGAAACTGCAACAAAAAAGCAATAAAAAAAATTAACAATATACTTCATAATCCGACTCGGCATGATGGGGATCGGTGTCTCATATTACCCAACAATGGTCGGACATATTTCTATTTTACTTATTGTTAATACATTTAAACAATAAAATGTATGAAAAGTTACTTTCACACTTTTCTCCCGTATCGTGGAGTCTGGAATATATAAACTGCACAAGAACATGAATCCAGACCAGAGACAATATTTTTTTAGGCTATACAATCACTTATTAATGGGAATCAAACCTGTGGCACGCAGTGAGGCAGACAAACGCGTACGGTTTTTTGCTGTCCTGCGGTTCCCATATTTCAATTCATTGAAGATTAAAGATTTCCTATATTCAGTTACAAAAGCAATGCTGTCATAGTTAATCATTTATAAAGAAAGCTGTTTGACTTTTGGACATCGAACGAAGTTTGTCATTTTTCTTTTATATTATATATACTTTTAAAACTGATGATCGGATGAAATATACCGGGCGTAAAAAATGGGGCTGTAGCATTCTGGTTCTGTGCAATGCCGTGTTATCTTCTAGATTTTGATTCAGAACAATTTTTAGATTTGTTAAAGAAGATAGGATCTTTTTAGGATCCAAAAATTCTCATGTGCTTTACTTACTTCCTAATAGAAAATATTATATGACAACAAAACGGCAAAACTTCGTGTAGTCACGTGTGGAAAAAATATGTTAAATAATTTTTTCAGTATCCTTCTAGCTAGTTAGTTTTTTTAGTTGTTTATCAGGGTGGTCTGAATAGTTTCCGACCTCAACGTGAAGATGGTAGCACTCGTCAATAAAAGCTAGTGAATGTAGTTGTGCATCTTTTGACAGTTACGCACCAAAATTTCAGCCATTTTGGACGCGTAGTTGTTATTTGCCAGTCATTTTAGTGAGTCGATGTGATTGTTTTTGTGAAAATGGAAAGAATTGAGTATCGAGATGTCATAAAATTTTTGTTTTTGAAAGGTAATTCGCATACGCAAATCAAAGATGAGTTGGACTCTGTGTATGGGGACTCTGCACTATGATTTACCACAATGAAATTTTGGGTAGCTAAATTTACACGTGGCCGTGAGAGGTTGGGAGACGATGAACGTCTGGACGTCCAACAACTGCAACTACTGACGATAACATCGCTAAAGTTCACCAAATGGTGCGAGGCGACCGTCGAATTAAAGTGAAAGAGATAGCAGAGGCTATGAAAATGTCCAAAGAATGTGTTTGCCACTTAAGTTTGTAACTTAATCAAGATTTAGGCATGAGAAAGCTGTCAGCGCGTTGGGTGTCACGTTTGCTCACGTTAGATCTAAAACGTGTTCGAATGAACATTTCCAACGCTCTGTTGGCGCAGTTTAGGCGCAATAATTCCGAGTTTTGGCGCCGATTAATAGAAAGTAGATGAAGCTTGGATACACCATTATATGTCCGAAATAAAAATACAGGCAAAATAGTGGACTGTAAAGGTGGAACCGGGAACTGTTTTTTCGCATGGGAAAGTGATGGCGACTGTCTTTTGGGATATTCATGGAGTTATCTTAATCGATTATCGTCAAACATGAAAAACCATTACAGAATCATACTACGCAGCACTACTTGACAAACTGAAGGCCGAAATTGCGGAAAAATGGCCGCATTTGATGAAAAAGAAAATCCTGTTTCACCATGACAACGCGCCGTCTCACACCTCAGCGGTTGCCATGGCGAAAATCCACAAATTACGGTTTGAACTGCTTGACCATCCTGTTTACTCACCAGATCTAGCACCAAACTACTTCTTTTTGTTCTCTCATCTAAAAATTGCGCTCCGAGCGCAATTTTTAGAGATTTTCGTCAAATGAGGAGGCATCACCTTCGTGAGTAATTATTTTGCAGAGAAAAACGCTGAGCACTATTTGGAGGAGTTAGAGAGATGGGAGCATCGCTGGGAGAAGTGTGTAGAGTTATAATTACAAGGAGACTATGTAGAAAAATAAAATAAAATTTTAAGAAAAAAATGTTTTGTATCTTTGTTAGGTCGTAAACTTTTCACACCACCCACGTATTATCCAATAAGTTTATAATAATTTAGTTCTCTATCAAAGATTGTATCAGATCTTAGCTTAGCAATACACTTTTCTTCTTTCCCTGGTTTAGATTGTATAGCAGGTAAGTATGTGTGTTGGTAAGTACCTGTACTGGCCACGAATATTTGCAGCGTACTAACAAAAAATTAAATCAGTTTGAGTGAGGATAACAAATGAACCTACCATTGTCACCTCAAGGCTAAGACTAATAATGTCATCCATGTGATGATTTTTTCAGGCTGCATATTAGCATGTGGGCTGTAGCGTGTGGTTGTCTGTCAATCTACACCTCGTTAGAGTGCAGTGATTTGATCTTCATTAAAGGCGCCTTAGAACGTATTAGTCTCGTTTTTCTACATTCTCCTTTAAAACGTTATGAACTTCTTTATTTGAAATCTATATTTGATTCGCTTGGAAGGCGGGTTTTCAACCCCAGGTATTTGGCATGTTGCTATCAGGAAGATTCTGCTGCCCATCTTCTGTTTATCCTTAATGTAGCTTTATCCCAATTTATACACAATGTATACTACCTGTTTATGTGCGAATTTCATTATTTTTGGTTTTTTTGTTAATATTTTTCATTTGGTCTGGTACTGACAGTATTTATTTTATTATTTTATTTTATTTAATCTTTTTTGTTGACACCTTAATAACAAGGGTAACAAAGGGCGGACTTAATGCCTAGCGACATTCTCTGCCAGTCAACCCGTGAAGTGATGGGATTTTGTGGCAGGTGGAAATACACATATATACTCTATAAACAGTATGTCTACAGCGAAATTTAAAGTGACAAAATGTTGCTGTACCTAAGTTCAATTCAGACGTGGCTAGGATTTGCCTTAATCGTCATGCTTGTAAGGGAATGACGATCCCACCAGTAGCAAACTGTTCGCACTTATGACACTACGTCGTAGAGCCATGCTGCAGATATAATTGTAGCATGAATGGCTCGGCTTGAACGGGGAAAAGGACTACGCTCTCCAGACAAGAATACCAGCTTACAGAATACCAGCGTGAAATAGCAGTTTAATGCTGCTGTGTTTCGTATGGTGAGTATATGGAATCGGAGACTCCTTTTACAGAAAAAGAGGCATTCCATCTTAGTCCGCAGGGGCGGCAACGCGCCTGCATTTTGATTCTTAATCGAGGATAGATGTAGATGTCTGTGGGACTGATTATATTATGGTTATAATTAAAGAATGAAGTAGGAGTAGTCATCATGTATTAAACAAACAATTATTATACAAAATTTACATTATTTACAATAAAAATATAGCAAAATATAAAATCACTACCTTTAAATTTGATATCAGTCCTAAGATTGAGCTTATTGTTAAAACTATTCAGAACTTTCTTCGCTATCTTCACATTTCATTACATTATCACACTCGTCGCCAGACTGCAACAACTCGTCCGCTACTACGTGAATCAACTCTTCCTTAAAGTTGGGCTGGATGTCGTCGATATTGAGGACGTCGGCCGGGGGGGACGCTCGTGCGCGTCGCTCTGATCCGCGGCGCACCGATCTACGTCTCACTTGCTTTATCACTTTTAATATCTCCACTTTGGTGGTAAGCTTTTCGTCATCCGTCATCTTCTTGAAGGAGGGTATAAGTGACATGAGAAAGTGCTCATCTTCATCGATGATGTGACGTGTCTGGAGCGAGGCGCGCGGTGCCACCTCTGCTATTGCCAACTCTTCGTTGGCGCGCCGCCGCATGACTTGCCGGCGCGCCTTCGTTGACGGATGGACGCTTCGCTTGCGACTTAAGTATTCATCGAGAAGGGGCGACACAGTCTCGTCCTTTTCTTCCTCCTCCGCCGCCTGAATGTGCGGTAACAGGAAAAGCATGTACTTGAAGTAAACATACGTCTTTTTTTTAATATTTTTCCCTTCACGTATCTGTTTTTCGATCGCTATTTGTCGTTTGAACGTGTCGCGCAAATTTCGCCATTTTCTTTGCAGGTCTGTAACTGTATTGAACAATTATATTTAGATATTTTACCCTTCATAAATCTGCAACAACGTTACTACTTTATAATAATACTACATAATACTAGCTGTCCCTCGCGACTTCGCTGGCGCGGAATTTACTACGATTTCATGCGTTTTAGTTATTTGCGTGGAACCCTAATTTTTTTTTCTAAAATAAAACTATCCTTAGTTACTCCTTATAACATCAGATATCTACCCGTGAAAGTTCTGTCAAAATCGGTCGGGCCGTTTCGGAGATTAACCGGAACAAACAGTAAAAACTTTAAAAAATATTTTTTTGTAATTAGTACCGTATATACTTTCATATGCATGTAGTAAAAAGCTGTTATTTTTTAACATTACAAACAGACACTTCAATTTTATTTATTAGTATAGATTTGATACTATTAACAATTAAACAATATTTAATGGTTACAAAAATGTCAAGTTTTTTAATATAATTAATGGAATCAGGCGTCACTTTGCGGACATTCTTTGTATTAAATAAAATACCACATCTCTAACACTAAGTTTTAATGTTAGTACTAGGGTTGCCAACTTTATACAAGTATTTTATTTTAGAAAGGTAATAGTTTGACCCCTAGTTCCTATTTTTCTAAAAGGAAATTGTAGTACACTACATAATATTTATGCGTAAAACGGAACGCAGCCTTTATCTCGTTCTGAAAGACAAACTACAATCATTTTAGTACTTCGATAATAAATTTAAAAAAAATTCTGAACGACACTCGGTATGGTATATTCAGATGATACCTTACATTACCTCTACACTCCATACCTTACATGTCAAAGCATTTCGTATTAAATTTTCTGATACACAAAATGGAGAGATGAGCACTATTGGGGAAAATTGTAATTTAAATTTTATAAACGTGGTAGAGCCATGCTGCAGCTACATTAATTGTATAGTTGTAGCACGAATGCGTCGACGAGGTAGGACCATGTTCTCACAGAATACCAGCGGAAAATAGCAGCTTGGTGCTGTTGTGTTTCATATGGTGAGTATAGAGAACTGGAGACCCTCTTTACTGGAAAAGAGGGCCTCTTTTCCAGTAAAGAGGGTCTCCAGTTCTCTATACTATACTCTATAAGAAGGAATGCCTCTTTAAGAGGCATTCCTTCTTAGTCCACACGGCTGACAACGTATCTGCATTTTGATTCGCAAATGAAGATAGATGTAGATGTCTATGGGCCACAGCAACCACTTATCATCAGGTGGACTGTGTGCACGCTTGTCACCCTTATCCTATATAAAAAAATCAATGGTAGATATTTTGTAACTTAAATTTACATTGCAATAAAAGCTATGAAGCTATTCTCCGAAATAAAAATCTAAGAAGAAAAGGCTTAAAGCGAAAAATTAAAATATTGATTTGTAACATAGTATATAATTTTTGTAATTTTTTGCCATCTACGTACTTTACTTTTACTCGGAATAGCCTCTTTGATATGAAAAGAGTTAGCAACCCTAGCTAGTACCTACGTGACCTTAGTAAAAACAGTAACACCTATAGGATAGGTAGTACGCGTTTGTTCGTAGTCGATAGTCGTATACAGGCGACTTACGCGACTGAACCGTGCAGCTCCAGCCAACAACCCGTTCCGTGTTCCGAAGGCTTTTTTTAAACCATAAGTGACTGACTACACATCTGTATTTCGATTCATCATATTTCGATTATAGTACATGGAGGTGTCTATGTGGGCTACAGAACTCACTTACGATCACACATTGTACTAGCAAGCGTAATGCTGTCAACTGCTACTAGAAGTCGTGACGGCTTCATAAAATATGCAGTGTGTCGATGAATGCAGGTGGTTCAAAATTGAATTTCGTGGTAATCTGTGGAGAGGCCTATCCCTATGCTTTTACTCGTGTAATGGGTTGGAATAATGATGATACATGTTGCACACCGACCTTTACATTCTTTTTCATCGGCGCTGAACTTATCCCAGTCGTTGAATAGAGCTTTAGCGATTTCAGTCCACATTTTGTTTTTCACATTGACGTTGGCCTGTTCCGGGCTGTTTTTTACGTACAACCCGGGCCATTTCTGAACCTCGCGAATTATGTGCAATGGATGAATCTCTTCCAATAATTTCTTTTTTTTACCGCTTAACGCTAAACTAATTTGAGCGTTTTTTTCTGCCGAAGCCATTGTCTCTATTATCTTATTGGCATTAGTTTCATGTATAAAAGAATCAGCACCAACAAACGTAGTACGTAATAATCGCCTCCGCACGCACAACTTTGGAGTTCAATAAATTCCGAGTGTTTCCGAACGTAAACGAAGTGTCACGAAACTAGTCCCATGACGTAGTATCTATGATACACAGAACTTTCCACTGATTTGTACTCATATTTGACCAATAAAACGCGTTTATTGTTTATATTTCAAATATTTTACACACGACATAAATTTAGCTTTCATTATATAATGAAATAAAACTAAAAAGGTAGGCCTCGGTCGGCCGTGGTCGTAAAACAACACTAACTATTACGATAGCTTGCGAAGCGTCACGTCGCGACTCGATTCCATTCGCGTTCTGCCGGCTGCATTCCTATCCCTTCCCCCTCCGTTCACTCTGCAGCTCTTCACCTCGCTACTACGCTGTTGTTGATTGATGATACAAGTATATAACTAATTAAATACTTATCTACAAACTTTTGCTTTATTGTAAAATTTATCAGTGTTGTTAGACACGATTTAGATATCTTTCCGATGCTGTTCGGTCCGTGTGGGTCATTATGGCGCATTTAGCGGTAACAGGGCCCACACAGTATTCACATAATAATGACAGGTATTTGTTTGTGTATTATTGAAACAATAGGTAAACAACAAAGTGACAAAAATACCTAAAGGTGATTTTTTATTTATTTAATTACTTTTATTCAAAGAATTTTAAACTATTATCTAACTAATTAGCAAGAGGTTTTTAAAGTTATTATTAGTGCCATCTATCGAATAAAAGTAATACTAACTATTTTCTAATCAAATTTTGTTTTATTTTTTATATTAGAAGCATAGATAATATCTTTATATATAAAAATTACGTGTCACGTTGTTTGTCCGCGATGAACTCCTACACTACTAAACTGATTTTAATGAAATTTTGCACACTCTGTGCAGTTTGGTCCAACTTGAGAGATAGGATAGTTTTTATCCTGATAAGTGGCACTCAATATTTTTTTATTACGGATTTAAGCGTACTTTTAATTAAGCGTAATTTTTTTGTACGTGGTAGAGTCATGCTGCAGCTATATTAGTAGTATAGTTGTAGCACGAATAGGTCGGCTCGACCGGAGAAGGAACACGCTCACAGAATACCAGCGTAAAATAGCAGCTTAACACTGCTGTATTTCGTATGGTGAGTGTAGAGAACCGGAGACCCTTTTTACTGGAAAAGAGGCATTACATCTTAGTCCTCACGGGTGACAACGCATCTACATCTGGATTTGCAAACGAGGATAGATGTAGATGTCTAGGGGCCACAGCAACCACTTACCATCAGGTGGACTGTGTGCTCGTTTGTCATCCTATCCTATATAAAAAAGCATTTTTTATATGAAGGTTCGTCGAAAAAGGCAGAATAACGTCTGCCTGGTCAGCTAATTAGTTATACTATTATACGGTTAGTAAGTTGAGCAAGTGGATGAGTTTGTGTATTTAGGATGTGTGTTTAACAAGGAAGATAGACATGACAAGGATATAGTACGATGAGTGAATGCAGGACACAGAGTACATTTTTTTATAGGAGAGGGGGCAAACGAGCATGCGGCTCACCTGATGGTAAGTGACTACCGCCGCCCATGAACTACTACAACACTAGGGGGACCAGGGGAATTGCAGATGCGTTGCCGGCCTTATAAAAGGAGTAGGCTCTTTTCTTGAAGGTCCCTAAGTCGTATCGGTCCGGAAAAATCGCTGACGGTAATCGATTCCACAAGGAAGTCGTGCGAGGAAGAAAAATCTTCTAAATCGCACAGTGGTGGACCGCCAATCATCCAGATGGTGTGGATGGTATCGGGAGTTCTGCCGCGATGTGCGTTCGTGAAATTTCGCGGCTGGGATTAATCCGTACAATTCCTCAGAGCACTTCCCGTGGTAAATGCGAAAGAAAATGCAAAGGGATGCAACATCTCTTCGCAGTGCCAATGAATCGAGCCGATCGGAAAGGACTCGGTCGTCGACGATTCGAGCCGCTCTGCGCTGGATGCGGTCAAGTGGAAGGAGCTGGTACTGGGGAGCCCCTGCCCAGAGATGGGAACAGTATTCCATGTGAGGCCGAACCTGCGCCTTGTAATGTCCAAACTAACGGCCAACGCCTCCCCCTTGGACTCTACTGCCTGTACATAGGTAAATGGGACTCTTCACTCTGTTGTGGGAAGTCAGAAAGTGTTGAAAAAAGCACGTATGGCGATTTACAATGCTGTGTTAGTGTAGTGAACGTTGGGTGTGGTAGAAGAAGCATGGAAGTAAAACATAGGCCTGCCCCATATATTCTCTCATAGGGGGGAGATGTGCCTTAGTCGCCACGCTGGGCAAGCGCGATGGCAACCAAAGTACTTTTTATTTTTAGTCGTGTTATTAGGAAGACGCTGTTGCCCAGCTTTAAAGCTAAATATTACGCAAATGGACCCCAGAATCGAAAAGATGTTGTTTCACACCCCCAATGTTTTTTGAAAGACCCCCAGCAATACCCCACACGATGGAATAGACGGGTAAAAAATATTTACCTGTATAGGAAGTACCCATAAATAAAAATGTTTTTTAAGATTTTATTTTACAGTTTTCTAGGCGTGATTAATATTTACAATTATGCCAAATTACAGATTTGTAGCACCTCGGGTCTCTGAGCAAAACCGCGGACAGCCGAAGTGATTCACGGACGGATGGACATGGCGAGACTTTAAGGGTTCCTTGTGAAGGAACCCTAAGGAACCCTAAAAAAGAAGTATATGTTCATCATTGGACGTCGATAATACTGTGTGTGACTGTGTGAATGGATTGTGAAATAAATATTGTGGAAGGTTTAAATTAAATAAATGTGTATATATTACTGCCATCTATCCGTCTGCAGTAAGCTTACTAAGTAATACGATTTTGAGCTTAGTATTTAATAGAAAACTAGGTGTCGTTATAATAATTTTTCTGTTGTTATTTTAACGACCTAATTGGTAATATAACTGGAAATGTATTCGTTTAAGATATACAATTTTATCATCCTTCTCTATAAATTGAGCTACTAGGTACGCTGAAACGAAAATCAAACTAGGATAAGGGTATATATCTACAACTTGTGTAATTTTTATGTTCTTTTCGTAATTTTGTCTATGATTTACGTTAAAAATGAAATATGTAAACAGAAAAAGCACTTGAAATCTATAACTCAAAATATACTGCAAAGGCGTCGCAATTTGATTTACGTGTATGTTATGGATTTACTAAGAATAGCAACAGTGCCATCTGTTGCATCATTGCAGAAACACGAAATAGCCTCGGTTGGATAGAAAACAAGATGTAATAGGTAGTGTCCTTCAAACTGAATTTTGGTAATTTCATAATTTTGTCTATGATTTATGTTAAAAATGAAATATGTAAGCAGAAAAATCACTTGAAATCTATAACTCAAAATATACGGCAAAGACATCACAATTTGAATTACGTGTATGTTATGGATTTACTAAGAATAGCACCAGCGCCATCTGTTGCATTATTGCAGAAATACGAAATAGCCTCGGTTGGATAGAAAACAAGATGTAATAGGTAGTGTCCTTCAAACTGAATTTTGGTCACGCTGGCCAGTCTTAACGAAGACTAGACAATAGGCAAACCATCTGTCCAGGTAATAAGGATTATAATGCAAAAGTTCATGCGCAAGCACGGGTGCACTTTCACGGGTAGACTTTCATAGTCCGATGGGACAGCAATCAGATCACATGACATCAAAGAGCGAAACAAAAATATGTTTCATAAAGCGAGACAGAAAATTCTCGGAATATTGCGCATTGGTGGACCGCCAACTATCCAGATGGTGTAAATCACAGAGTACATTATATATTAAATCCAAATGCGAATTGGCACAACTTGCGATTTTATTTGGAGTGTTCTAATTAATCTGAACAATTCCATAGAGCAATCGACATTATACAAGCGATGGAAAGTGCAAAAGATAGAACTCCTTTCGTGAACGGCTAGTCGATTAATCCAATCAGAAAGAACTCGATCCTAAACAGTTTGAGCTGCTTTGGTTGCATGCGGTTAAGAGGGCAGCTTCTACTATTTTCTATTATTCTGTCGTCGATCCCCCAAGAATGAAACACTTGATAGGCAACTGGCTTGTCGGAATCGATATTTTTAAATTCATGAAAATTAATAAAACCTACAATTATCCTCATTTAAGGATGAAATGCAGATACGTTGCTTATGCCCTTGAGGCCTCAGATGGAATTTTTCCTTAACAAGACTGGTTCCTTAACAAGACAGCCTACGGAACATACCAACATTTTGCTGATAGGGGTCTAAGAATAGATGTAGATGTACTATGTACACCTACACTATACCAATCACTTGCCATCACCTGGATTATGTGCTCGTTTGTCGCCATAAAAAAAAACGTTTCTAAACCATGTTTTTGCTGGTTCACTGGCTTTTTTAACATATTATTACCAATTATAAGGATGCGTCCTACCCAGATCTATCATAATGATCATAAATCTATTTTAAAAAGTTGGATCGTCTTCTTAATAATTCCAAGAGGTATAATTTCGATTAAACTTTGCATGACATATTCTTCTAAGGCGTAGCATTGGAATTTATTTAATTTAAAATAACCAATATTTCCTTCTTATCTAAAGTATAATTATTTTAAATTTTAAATTACATAACGATTACGGAAAATTGTTGAAATTGTAATGTACTGTTTATCATCTAATGTGATGATGGGATTCAAAACGTTTGTTATTTTGAATGGTTGTACATTGTAACGTAAGACTGACAAAGAAAAATGGAACTACGAGTATCTATAACAGTTACAAGGTAATTTATTAAAGCGATTCTTTCGAAATAAAACCACGTAAGCATTGCGTATGTGTGCTGCGCGCAACCTCACCATTTTTTTAAAATTTCAAGTTATATATTTTAGAGAACCGGAGACCCTTTTAATAGGAAATGAAGCATTCCATCTCGCTCCTCAGGGGTGACAATGCAACTGCATTTAGATTCTTAATTGAGGACAAATGTAGACGTCTATAGGCCACAGAATTCACTTAGCATCAGGTGGACTGTGTGCTCGTTTGTCACCCTAATTATATAAAAGAAAGAGCTACAGACAAGCTAAGTCCACTTGATGGTAAGTGGCTACTGCAGCCCACGGACATCTGCAACCAACTTCAACCGAAAAAGGCTACAGATGCATTGTGGCTCCTGAAAAAATGCATCTAGTTGTATTTCAAACTGTAACAGTGCAGAAGATGTATTGCTGTGGATGAGAGGACGTTACAGACACCTAGGCAGATAAAGAGCTCCACCATCTAAAGACCGCGTAGAAACTTGTTTCAATATTTTGATAGATGGAGGATTGTTACGTTTGTGGATCCGTGAAATGACGTGATAGTCTGTGGTCAGTTCGGATTAAGATCAGATTTAAGATCGCTTTAGTGTGTAGCAGGAAGTCTTCATTATAGTGTGATATGAAAAATAGTGATGCAAAAATATATAATATGTAATTATGTAAGTATTTGAGTACTTACCTATGATTTAACTGTATTGTAGTTGTTTTTCGCCATAGATTTTAATCTTTTTTTTATATAATAAGGGTGACAAACGAGCACACAGTCCACCTGATGGTAAGTGGATGCTCTGGCCCGTAGACATCTACATCTATCTTCGTTTACGAATTAAAATGCACATGCGTTGTCAGCCGTGAGGACTAAAATGAAATTCCTCTTTTCCAGTAAAAAGGGTCTCCGGTTCTCTACACTCACCATACGAAACACAGCAGCATTAAGCTGCTATTTTACGCTGGTATTCTGTGAGAGTGTGATCCTTCCCCGGTCGAGCCCACCCATTCGTGCTACAACTATACTATTAATATAGCTGCAGCAAGGCTCTATCACGTATAAAATCTAAATCTAAGTATTTTAGATTATTTAAAATCTAAATGTGATTTCACTTTTCTGTCACAACAGTTCTCTTTCCGCTCAGACCCTTCCACAAAATATAAATAAATAAATAATAGACAGTAAATTACGTCCGACAGTAAAATAAGTATTTTTTAGTTCAGTTTTTCGTTTCGTTTCGCAGATGCCATGACTGAACTTATTATTAGCCCTACAGCGCTAATAATAAAAAAAGTAGTTCGTGTATTTAATACCTGATGTGTATACTGGTAAATCATTATTCCGCTATGCGGTCACTAACAATTAAAGAACCATAAAAATGTATATTATAATATATGTAAACCGCTAGCTAAACACGTGAAAGTTGTAATTTTAAAAGAATTGTGAAGAGGAAAATTGTTAAATAAGTTTCAATTACAATTAGTTTTTCAAATTCTAAAGAAAAGTCATTTGGTAGTCCTCGATGTCGCTTTAGTTATTTGAGATGTAAGTGATGCTGGCAGCTATGCGACATGGTGCGTCGTGGTGCGTTGCGGTGGCATGTGTCAGTCGTGAATGCTTCGATAATTTGATCCGGGTAAAAGTATTGATGATTTTTAACGGTCCGGTACAAACGATTGACAGAAGCTATATAAGTAACCTGTGAACTATGATACGATATGATATGATATGAACGGATTGTTGATGTAAAAGTATTTCGCGAGTAGGCTATTTTCTACTTAGTAGGTAGGTACATAATTTCAAAACAATTGTGATAATCGATTCGACTAATCTATACTAGTATTATAATCCAGAAACACTTGTTGTGTAAGTTTGAGTTTGATATAGTCGTGGAAACAACTTACTCGTACAAGTGTAAATTACTTTTTATCTAGCACATGTATGTACATGAGATACCAAAGCGCTTCATTAATTAAATAATAAATATTATTCAAAATATTAAAGCATTTAAGTACACACAGTAAAGTTCAGGACACTATGCAATATATGAATAAGCAGTGAAATGAAGTATTTATTTGTGTTCGATCGAAACTGAATGAACTGGGTTCGCGAACGTGGGTCGGTGGTGGACCAAGGAGTATAGTAATGAAATACTCACAGATCACAGTACTGAAATCCGAAATAATTTTATACGTGGTAGAGCCACGCTGCAGCTACATTATAGTTGCAGCACGAAAAGGTCGGCTCAACCGAGGTAGGAACGCGCTCTCACAGAATACCAGCGTAATACAGAATACACAATAATAGTAGAATAATAGTAGAAACTTTTTACTGTAAACAAGGTCGCAACATCTCAGTCCTCAGGGTTGACAACGTATCTGCATTTTGATTCTTAATTGAGGATAAATATACGTCTATAGGCCACAGCATCCAATTACCATCAGGTGGACTGTGTGCTCGTTTGTCTACCTTATTTTATAAAGAATCCATTTGAAAGATCGACTCGAATGAATCGGTTCGTATGACGATTGACACATGTGTGTTGTGGTGACGTTGTGGTGGTGTAGCGTAGCGGCGCGGGCCGGCAGTGGGGCAGTGGTTCCCGCTCAGCGCTGCGTGCCGCACGCCCGCGTCCGCGCTTCTCGCGCGATCGAAAATGCTCTGCGAGCTCTCCTACGAGAGTCGACATAGAACACTCTTCTGAAATCCCCTTTGGGAGTCGAACGTGGTTCTTAGCTCGAAGTCTCGCCCGTACGTGCAAATACCAGTTAGTCCCACCGCTGATTGTGAGCCACCCTCAACCGCAAGTACTGAAGAACCGAGGACCGCTCCGACTCTACACAGTCAGTATCGATTTCCCACCTGCTCCAATTTCCTACCAAGTGCTTGAAGTACTTCGTATATGATACACGCGGTACCCTGGCTTTTAATAATTCACAAGAGGGATTCAAAATAACATGAAAATCGTGCATGTGTACTGTACAGTTGTTCAAACAACATGTTAAAGACAAAAATATTTTAAATAATTTATAACATAATCTAAAAATATTTTATTTAGTTTTGTTTGATAATGATATAAGTGAAGAATATTTTTGTCAAGTAAATATTATTAGATTTCTTAAGGCTAAAATTGAATCACTTGCAATAATGAATATAAGGCCTCTAATATTTGTGCATGATCAACACGACCTTACGATGGAATCTTTGATCTTGACACGAAATCTCAGATTCATTAAAAAGTTGTTCTCGTAAGTCGAGCGCCTGTTAAAGAACAGCTGAGCTAGAAGTCTATCATCAAACGCGTTGTGGTGGTATTTTATTTTAAAAACTGAAGTGACAAACGAGCTGCTAGTCCATATGATAGTAAGTGGCTAGTGCCGGCCTTGGATACCGCGGCAAACTACAAAAAAAAAAGAAGGCTCCAGATGCGTTGTCACCTACGAGGACTGAGATGGAATGTCGAACAGCCTGTAATTATATGGCTCTCACTACCCCTTCACAGGTGCTGCTGCTTTACGGCAGAAATAGGTGTAAGAGACTTCTAGACTTAAAAGAAGTCCTAACATCTCGTAAGAAGTAATATGCAAAAGTAAACGCGGAAAGATTAATAGCTGATGCTACTCTCTACTCACTGCTCTATGTTTTCGTGCCAAATACCGGCGTTGTGCTGTATGATCTATCACAAGAAGGATATCATTATAATGCGAGGAACTTGCGCTAAGATTTTCCCAAGTTCTAACTAGCATCCGTTTTCATACAAATATATCTATAAATTAAAAGCAATATCCACTTTTTCCCTTTGTTATAAGAACGCTTAAAAGTTAAAAAAAATACAACAAAGTAGCCCGTAAGCTATTTGCCTATATGCCTACTGCTGGGCGTTGCCCTCTTATTTAGGGCAAGGAAATGTCCGCCGCGCTGCCCCCATGTGCCCTATGCGTGATGGCGGGCTAAACACAATGATTTCTTATATTTACGCGATAATAATATGTCATAAAATTGAACATGAAAACACTGAAGCGATCACCAAATTCCCATGATTACTATCAATCACGTAGAATTGTAATGAAAATGAAAAATTGTAAATAAAATTGTTACTTGCAATAAGAACAGTTTTATCGCCCGCTCTGCGGTGTTTTCGGTGACCCGACTGTTCGGGTGCTTTACAGCACAGACCCATTGGGTCACGGACGGAACGAAACGTCGGGAGTTAATAAAGTTAAAATCAATCGCAATAAAATCCGTAAAATTAGTTTCAATTAATGTGCTAAACACGGCTTATATTTTTTTATATAATTTCTTAGAAATGCAAGTTTTCTCGCGATGTTTCCTTTACCGCAGAGCAGTCGGTAAACTTGTACTTATTGCAATTTACAATTCAATTTACAACAAAGATTGATTTGATTTTGTGATCGCTATTAACAGCATGGTAATGTAGCCATGTTTTTATTCTTATAACATGCTGGCTTTTTCTGAATTGCTGTTTAAGAAATAAGAGAGCACCCATGGGTCAGGGGGGGGGGGACAGAGGTGTTTGAAGCCCCGATGTCATAGTTAGCCCGGCTACCTCCAGTTTATAAATATTAATTTTTGTTCTCATCTATGCAAAATGAGCTTATAATATCTTGAAGTCTTGCTTACCACCATGCTTGGGTTTGGTTTTAGTTTTATTTATTATGGGATCCCAAGTAGATGGTAGCACCCGTCCATTTATCTCTATAGATATTAGGATATTTATTAATTTCAATAGCCTCGCATATCATCTTTGGTAGGAATCGGTGATATCGCAAAATTATTAAAATAAATGGTCTTTAATTATTATTTTTCATCTAAATAACGACATATTATTATACTTTACCCAGGCGAAGCCGGAGCGGGTCGCTAGTCGTAAAATAAAATCTATTCGGACCGGCGAAAAATGTCTTAGGTCTTAGTGCTTAAACGTATTGTGAGTAGCAAAAATGATATTAATTTTGAGCTGCGATTTACAGTTTCCATTCTTATTACGGCACTACAGCTTTATTTATTTATTTATTTTGAAGGACATTCTACAGTAGTTACAATATATACTATTTATTGCTTTCTATCTCTGCATTACATATTATGCTTATTGAACTACAAATGACAGGTTGTCACAACATGATTAAAAATGACAAAGAAGAAAAAGTATAAAAATTTAAGAAAAGGGCCTATATATATAATATAATATAAATAAATAAAATATATAAGAGAGGTGCATCACCCACTGAGAATAATTTTTCTTTTATAATTATGTATGTCATTAAAAATGTCGAGATCTGTGTCATCAGTTGATTTTATATTATAGGTACGTCTCAAACGGGAAACTGGTGAATTTTTTCCTAGTTTTATTAATTGGGTTTTAAGCTGTAGTGCAGTTTGGGTTGTAGCTAAGCGAGTGAATCTTTTTAACGTGCTAACGATAAAAAGATTTGAAAGACCACGCTGCAGCTATATTATGGTTAAAGCACGAATGGGTCGGTCTGACTAGGAAAGGACCGCACTATCACAGAATACCAGCGTAAAATATAAGTTTTATGCTGCAAGTTTTGCATGATGAGTGTAGAGAAACGGAAACCTTTTTATCTGGTAACGACGCCTTCTAATGTAGTCCTCCTAACTCCTACTCTGCCATGTTAGAATGTGTCGTTTTTAGTGACATCGCATTTGCATTTTTTATAGGATAAGGGTAACAAACGAGCACACTGTCCACCTGATGGTAAGTGGTTGCCGTGGTCCATAGACATCTACATCTATTCTCGATTACGAATCAAAATGCAGATGCGTTGTCACCCGTGAGGACTAAGATGAAATGCCTCGTTTTCAGTAAAATGGGTCTCCGGTTCTCTACACTCACCATACGTAACACAGCAGCGTTAAGCTGCTATTTTACGCTGGTATTCTGCGAGTGTGGTCCCTCCCCGGTCAAGCAGACCCATTCGTGCTACAACTATACCAGTAATATAGCTGCAGCATGGCTCTACCAAATTGCATGCATTTTGATTCTTATGCATTATAATCGAGAATAGATGGGCTATGGCGTTCTCCTTACCAACAGGCGGACTGTGTGCTCGTTTATCATCCTTGTTCTGTATAAAAAAATCCTGAAATGAATTATTTAACTAATGTTTGAGAAGATCATTGCAAGATTAATTATAATACAATTTAATTCACACCACGAACAATGACCGTTGTTAGGACTGTATTGTTAAGTTCATAAACCTCATCGATCTGATAAAAACATTTAATGTCATGTACCTCGTCACCGTTCTTGATCAGCTCTCATTCACTACTTTCTGCGTTTAGACAGTTTCCCTAACTCATCCCCTGTTTCACTCATTCCTAACTCACGATAAGGCACAAAAGAAAAAACATCAGAACAACGTTTTTATTGTTATAAACGTAGTTAGTTATCTAGCGACCTACCTTCCGGCAAAGATGCCGCAAGTGGATGATCCAGCAACAGTCCCTGCCTCTGTGTGGCTCTCATACCCTCTAAGATTAATGAACGTTTAGTTTTTTTATTTGTTTGTTTTACTATTAATATTAATTTATTGATAGTTTTATTTTAAGATACGTGGTTTTCATCACTTGCCTAAGACCCTGTATGGTTAATGCCCAAAGGCGGTGGCAGAATAGCAGGAGTAATGTGTTTCCCGTTACAACTGAGTCACAGTAGCAGTTGAACTTTGACAATACTCCTCGTGAATAGATATTCTGCTAACTATGGAGACCATATGTTCTTTCTGGCTGTGGTCGCCTCTACGGAACCACCGTGCGATATGGCGCTATCACTAGGTAGGACTGTATATCTGCCGCGAAATAACAGTGTTTGCACTGCTGTGTTCCAGTGTGAAGGGTAAGAAGAGCCAGTGTGATGACAGGCTTGGAGGTATTCAATCTTATAGCCTTCTTGGCTGCAGGTGTCCACGCACAGCAGGAGTCACTGAACATCAGGGGGATTGTCGGTTCATTTGTTATTTCAGATTGTTAAAAAATACCATAAAATGTAGCAAACGGCAAACAATGTTCACATTATAGATATAACGAATGTTCAATTATATCGGGTAGTTGGAAGAACAGCTACACAAAAAATAGTATTACAGATTTAAAGCAGTAGAGTCAGTGGTAGAGTTGTTTCATCTAGAAAAGCTATTGCATGTAAATGGTTGTGCCAGGGATAACTGGAAGTAAATACCAAACTAGTTCAGAGGCATTGTACTTTAATATTGCAAATGTCACTGTTGAGATGTTCATTCTAAACAGTGACGATTGCAGTGCGATTGTGTTACTCTGGTGACAATTGACTTCGTTTTGATGTTTCATGTTTGGTTTTGTTCAAAGAGATTTAAAATATATACTACTTAAATGTCTTTAGTTTTGTTATATTGTGTAAAAATGTAACAGTATCTATTGTAAGGCGATGTCTTTTA